CTAGGAGACATACCAGAACTTGTCTGGGACAAACACAGTCAGATACCAGTTCTAGTGGAAAAGGTGGGCAATGTACACGACCATACAAGTAATTCAGCAGAGAGATGGAAGCATTAAGGACCAATCAAGTAGAAAGCCTAGGAAAAAAGACAGTTGCCAGCTGGGAGTAGTGGTTCACACTTGTAGTCCCAGCACTTAGGGGGCTGAGTCAGGAGAATCACCAAGAATCCAAGGCCAGCCCTGTCTATATGGTGAGACCCTGTCTTAAAAAATAAGACACAGAGATGAAAAATGCTTTGATGGAGAGGGTCATCAATACAGGATGGAAAATGACCAAAGATGGTTTAGAGACTGTGAGACAGGCTCACAATTCACTACACTAGCAGACCACGGAAGGTAAGAGTACACATGGCGTATGTAGATACAGAAGAGACTGACAGGATACAGTGTCCACCACGGACAGAATTGTCAGCAAGCTAGGAAGAGGGGTGGACCTCAGAATCTTACCATGGGAATCTGAGGGCATTTGGAGCTAACATCACGTGGAAGCTCTAGAATCAGGAGCAGGGCAGGCACACCTTCTCTCAACACCTCTGTTCTGGAGCTTCTAGTAACAGCAATAAAGTGAGGAAAATGAATGAACTGTACAGATTGGAGAGGTGATAGATCATTTTAGGTATCAACTTGACTAGATGAAAGAATACCTAGGGGACCAGTAAAGCATTATTTCTAGGTGTGTCTGTGAAGGAATCTACCAAGTGGCAAGATCTACCCTTGATGTGGGCAGGAACCATCCAACCAGGCAGAACAACAGAACAAAAACAGAGGAAACATGGATTCCTTTCTCACTCCTCTCCTGGGGCATCAGAACTCCAAGCATTCTGGACTCTTGCACTTATACCAGTGGCCTCCCAGGTTCTCTGGCCTCTGTTCAAAATACAGTATAGACTTATAAATACAGACTTTTACCATCCACTTCCTTGGTTGTAAGGTTTGGGTCCTTGAACTGAGCCTCACTGTCAGCATCCTGGGGTTCCCAGTTTGCAGACAGATGTCTCAGTCTCTACAGATGAGTAATTACATCCCCTGTCCTGTATCTGTATCTATAAATGTCCTGCTGGGTCTATTTCTCTGAAGAACCCTCAATAGTACAGAACAGAAGATGAAAAATGGCCTCTGCATATCACATGACTGTCTAACAAAGGGCTATTATATGTAATAAGCGAGCTTTTCAAGGTCATAGGATGCAAGATCAGTAACAAGCTTTCAATTTTGATATAATAGCCAGGAATAACAGATGATTTTAAAGTATGAAAATAGTAATAAATGGAAAATAAGTTCAAATATTTCAAAATATGTGAAGATCTATATAGTGAAAATTACATGCTGATGAAAGACACAATAAACAGTGTTGGAAAAGCTGTGTGTGGATTCCGTGTGATCCCAATCAAAATCCCAGTGGGACTGCTGTACAAACTGACAAGCTTATTCTAAAATCTATATGGAAAATGCAAAGGAACTGAGAAAACTGAAACAATTTTGGAAAATAACGAAGTTGGAGCACAGCACTAAGCCATAAACAGACTCTCACCTCCAATAGTCTCTGTCTTACTGATTGCTAATGAAAGCGTGCTTCTAAGCAAGCCCCACTGCCTTATGGAGACCCTCAGATGGGGGTCAGGGGCAAGCTGCCCCATCTCCTAACTCCCAAGTCACTGCTACCTCTAGACCACTGCCCTCCCACTGCTGTCATCTATCCTGTCTCCTTTTATCCTCATGCCATCAGCTCTGATAGCCTCTGCCTCTAGGATATCCTTGAACAAGTTCAATAAGAAGACTGGGCTAGTCCTTCTTCTTGCTTTAACTCTTACCAGTGTCCTAGGTATCTGCATACCCATGGAGAAGAGCTGCTGACTAGTTTCAAACAGCCAGTTAGGCTGACCAGCCTTGGCTTGAACTTCTTGACTTCGGTAGTCTTTTTTATTTTTGGTCTTTTTGAGACAGGGTCTCCCTGTAGCCCCAGCTGTCCTGGAACTCACTATGTAGACCAAGCTGGCCTGGAACTCACAGAGATCTGCCTGCCTCTGCCTCCTGTGTGCTGGGATTAAAGGCGTGCGCCACCACGCCCAGCTGACTTCAGTATTCTTTTTAAAAAAAAAATATTTATTAATACTATTTTCTGTGTATGGGTGTATTGCCTGCATATGTGTAAGTGCACCCTTATTGTGCAATGCCTGCGGAGGTCAGAAGAAGGTGTTGGATCCCCTGGAACTGAAGTTTCAGAAGGTTGTTAGCCACCACGTGGGTGCTGGGCACCGAACCTGGGTCCTCTGCGAGATCAGTCAGTGCTCTTAACTGCTGAGCCATCTCTCTAGTCTCTAACTTTGGTATTCCTTACTTAGTCCACACAAAAACTGTTTCTCATCAAAGTAACAGAACATGAATAAGGGTGAGACTGCAAGGTGTCCAGGCCACCCTGGGCCCAGGTCTGCATCTTAAAGAAAACATCATTTCTCCCAAATTTTCATTACCTTTCAACTCACATCTTCTTTGAGGCTGGAAGCTCATGAAAGTGGGTCCTGAGTCCCACTGAATAAAGGTGTCAAGGAGAAGTTCAAGGGTTTGGAGCAACAGTGCAAATACTCTATAACCCATCAGTTAAGAAATGTGTTTTTGGCTAAATGTTTGCCAAAGGTCTATTGTTCAAAGCTTGGTCCTTAGAGCTAGAAAGCATGCACTGCTCTTGCAAAGGACCCAAGTCAGCTTCCCAGCACACACATGGCAGGCCGCAATCATCTGTAACTCCAGATTCAGGGGATACGATGCCTTCTTCTGGCCTTCACAGGTACCAGGCACATACATAAATGTAGACAGATACTCAAATACATAAAATAGCATTAACATTTTTTTAAAATATAGGAAGCAGGACTATAGTGTCCTTAGGTCACTGGAGTCATGTCCGTCCTCTTTCTCTTCTATCCCTTTGCCTGTGAGTGGTTTTGGTCCACCTCGTGCTCCTGTCATGACATACAGGCTCACCATGGCTCAGAGAAGGTACCACTTGATCACACACTTGAAGTTTCAAAACTGTAAGCCAATCCAAACCCTCTCTCTTCCAAGTTGATTACGCAGGTATTTCTTAGAGCATCTGAAAGTTAATCAACACACACAGGTGGTCTCTAGGGGCCGAGAGCTCTTTTGGGAAGTGGTGGCCGCACTGTCATTGTAATTACCTGTGGTCTGGTTATGTTCTCTAAATGTGGAAAGAAAGCACACCTGGGCTGAAGAGGTAACTTAGGAGTTGTCAGAAACGGAGTTCCCAGTAAGAAGAGTCTGCCTACTCCCTGCCTCAAAAGTACTTCAAAAGTGGCCTTGGGCACTGACTCTGAGCAGGGCCCAGCATGTAGGAAAGTATAGACTGTGGTTGTATGTAATGTAGGGCTGCAAGAGATGGCTGGTACCAGAAGAGCATTCCTAGGGACTTACCTGTCTGGCTTCCTCCATTCTCACTGGATGTGCCACTTTGGTGGGCTGTGGGGACCCTGAACTAGGACCACTCCTCCATGTGGAGCAAGGCAGGTGCTGGGGAACCTCTGTCTATACCTCTGCTTGTATGTCAGCCTTTGATACCTGAGACTAAGCAGGGGGGCAATGGCACATGGCCACACCCTCCTTCTCTCCAGGGTGGAGGTGGCTGTCTTTGGAGCCAGCATTCCTTCATACCCTTCTTCTGGCCCACAGACCAGAGCTCCTCTACTACTGTAAAGTCTTACCACCAACCGAGAGTTCCTTTGACCACACTACAGCTATTCAAAAAGTTTCAGCTGCTTTTATTCAGGGTTAAAGAAAGGAACAGGGTTGACTTTCCATATGTATTTTTAAGTAGCCAGTTTGGGTTTCAGGAATAAAATAACACTTGCGAGTAAACAAAAGGGGGGAAAGAAAAATATAAATAACATTTCTATGCTGTCTTTTAAAAAAGATCAAAAGCTTTACACGAGAATAGACTATCATGGGAGATTGTAGTATTTCTTCAAGTATCTCTTTTTTTTTTTTTTGGTCTTTTTGAGACAGGGTCTCCCTGTAGCCCCAGTTGTCCTGGAACTCACTATGTAAACCAGGCTGGCCTCCGCCTC